CTGATGATAAAATTTAATAATCTAATAAGTTATGTTGTGCTCAATCAATTTTTTTTAATTTAAGATTATTATGAAGACATTATTTAATTATTGAAAGTTGTATTTCTCTCAATAAGACATATCAATAATTTTCTCGATAGATTCTATATTCATATAAAAGAGGAGTCATGGTATTTGATTTTTTTTCTTTTATGCAATGAATGTTTTTTAGGTTTTATTTTTTAAAAGATTTTTAAGCTTTTTCATTTTCTTATTACTTTATGGTTGAGTTTTTATTAAAAATTAATTTCTTCTTATGAGTTGGGGGACATTTTTAAATAAAAAAATGATATATAAAAGAAAATAAAAATAATTAATGATGAAGAATTTTAAACGAATTTCTTGTTTAATTTAATTTTATTAGATATTTGAATTATTAATTAGGAATTACCTTTTGTTTTCTTAAAAAGAAAGCTATTTTTTTCTTAAAAGTATTATTCCTAAACATTGGATTTTCTGAATTTCTTTTATTAATTTCATCTTTTATTTAAAATTAATAATTATATTTTCTTTACTATATAATTAAATAAAAAAAAGTCATTGAGTCACAAGTTTACGCAGAAATCCTGATATGATGCAAAATATTGAAGGATGGAAGATTAAAAAAAAAATAGGTGTTATGAAAAAACAACAACAATATTGGTTACATTTGAAATAAAAAAGGAGGAGCATGGAATATAATAAAGCTTGTATAATTATATGAATTACATTGGTGAAGCCATTTGATTTATTAATTTTAGGACAACATATTACTGTAGAGGCCTTGATTCAGGATTTTGAAAATGTGTTTTTATTTTGCATTCATTACTGGGAGGTACTTTCATGATGGTGGTAATCTTATCAAATCATTTCATATCATTGCAGCTTGCAACAAAGTTTCTTAATAGTGGACAAACATGTGTTTGTGCAAACAGAATAATTATGCAAGAGGGTATCTAACTACAGAATTATAACCTTAATTTTACCCCTTAATTCTAATTTTATATGTAATGTTAAAATATGTAATATGATAATGAAATTATATACGTGTTACAATTTTGGATATAAATATTTTAACAAGTATACCTTCCTTATATTTATATAAGGAGCATTAGTGTCTGAAACCTTATTAGCGGAGCGAGCTCGAACACCTAGAGCTATAGGTAAGTGTTTCGCTCTTTAACTATATAAAGTTATTATAATAGTTCTTTTGTTTTTCTTATATGTGATTGGGTTGTCTTTGTTATGTACATTTGATAATTATTAGAACTGAATTGTGTCATGGTTGTAAGAGAATTATAAGAGCACATGGTTAAGAATGAAAAGAATTATTCAATGAATGAAATTAATTAATATAAAATATAATGTGTATGACTTAGTTGTCTAAATGATCAGAAATTAAGGAGATATGAATATTGATTTTGACTTAGTTTTCCAAAGTGGTGGAAAGCTAAGGTAAACAGTATTTGACTTAGTCATTTGTAGAGGCATGGCTAAGGTGATATGGATAAATGACTTAGTCATCCGTAAGAATAGAAACTAAGATGTGGTTATAAAATTTAGTCATTTATATGCAAATTGGCTAAGGTGGTAATGAATTTGATCAGGAATTGAGGAAGACCTAGATAAATTGTGTAATTACTTGGATTCCTATTAAGATGAGGACCAAGGTGGCCCTAAAAAAAAAAAAAAAGCTTTACAAATAGACTATGGAGCTTGGTAATGAAGAAGTTATCTCAAGTAATTAAAGTTGAAGAATATATATATAGAAAATGTATTAGAAATTATGGTATTAAAAGGGAAAAGAAGTGTAAACTATATATATGTGTAAATAAATTAAATTAGTATTACTAAATAAATTATGTTGTATTGTTGCAGTTCCTTCTCAAACCACGGGACAAATTTAATTCTTTTTTTTTTTTTGTGGATAGTTACTTACTAGGTATATTTTGGGTATGTGGATTATGTAATATTCTAGTTTACTAGGATTTAAACTTATCTTTTGAACTTCTAATTAGTGAAAGTTATATAGCACTTGTTAGATAATTAAATCTCTATTGTGTAGGTATTAAAGAATTTTTAATATGCATCTAGATAACTTTATAATATACTTGTTTTAATGATATCATGTGTGAAGATAAAAGATACATAACACTACTGGTAGAATGAAAAATGGTGAAGATATAAGTTGAAGTAGATAATGTGATGAGAAATTATATTTTTGTTGAAAAAGTCTAAAATGATTGGATCATAAATATATAGAATAAATTGTGTTTTAAGTTGATTTTGACACTTAAAAAGGTCAATTTACAAAGAAGACTCTGTCGAATTTTTGATAGCCAATTAATAATAATAATAATAATAATAATAATAATAAGCTTAAGTTTTTTATCAGGATAGTTAGGGATCAGAGATTACACACACAAACACACATACACACATATATATATATGTGTGTGTGTGTGTGTGTGTGTGTGTCGCACACGCGTATACATAAAAAAATTTCTAATTTTTTCAATGAATTTGATATAAATAAAATTGAGAATGTTACATACACCACTTAGGGTTAATAATTTATAGGTACGTACAGATATGCTAAACTAATCATTTAACCTTCAATTTCATTCTCAGACAATATACATCAAATTAACATAGATACACAATTCCATTCAATTCTTCCATTTTTCCTATTTTTTTTTATTGTGGCTGACTCTAGGGTTAGGAAATTTCCATGGTTTTTCTTTCAATCATCATCATAGTTCTACTCTATCTAACATATATCACATGCCAAATTAGTCAATTTACATCAAAACATCCATTCCACTTATTCTTTTTTTCTCCAAAACTCTAAAATTAGAAATTTAAGGATTTCTTCTCCAATTGTAAAATACAAGTTAAAAGTATAAATAAGTGGAGGGTTAATTCTTTACTTGGATGTTTTAACTCAATTTGATGAGTTATTGCCACTTTTCCACCAATTTTCCTTTTCTTCTCTAACAAATGAAGTTTCTTTCTCTCTCACTATTGTGAATTTTATCTAAACTTAGGGTATAATACTTAATTCAACAAAAAATACAAGTAAACCTTAGTACTATAGGCTACCTATACCTTAACTAGTCATTATTCATGAGCTATTATTGTATAAATAACAAGTTTATTAATAATTTCTTTTAGGATTTAGGCTGAGTTTAATGAGTTTAATAATGACTCATCTAATTCATCACTAACATGGCTTGATAGACCGCTATAGTCACATGTTATGATTAGGAGTAAATGGTCATAAATGTGCCAATTCACTAAGCAATTAAAAGTGATAAACATGACTTGGATTTTAGAATGGATATGTTTAACCTCAATATCTACTTTATTGGTCTACTCGTTATAATAAATCAATTATTACTTATGTAGGAAAATTACTAATAGATTAGATATAATAAACCATTAGAAATAAAAAAACAAGTAGCAGTGTAACTTAGCTCAAGTATGTTATTTCAGAGTGATAATATTTTCTCTATAGCTTAACCAGTTCTTTATCTTAGAACTTTAAAGAGCAATTAAGATTTTTAATGATCATAATATTAAATATTAAGTGGTGATTTATTTTCATAAGTTTTAAACTCCCTTCTTCCCTTTTTATAACACCCAAAAAAACCTTTCTTTTTAGGAAAGAGGGAAGGTCAACCATAATGTTGGGTGTATTATTTTTATTGACCTTTTCATATAATTATTAAAAAAAGGTTAAACTAAACTATTTTTTTGTTTTTGAATATATATTTTATCATTTAACATTGAGTTTTTATTAAAAAAAAATTTCTAGATTGCTTTTTTCAATATCATTATTTAACATTTGATTTATTTTGAATTGATATTCATGTTATGTTTTAGTTTGGTTTTTGTAGGATCATTATAGTTTTGGACAAACATCCTAATATTTGGTTGATATTAAATCTTATGGGTGTCTATTTTTATTATCAATATATTTTTTATGCTCAATTATTTTTTATTTTTTATGTTGCTATCACTATTTCATTACCAGATTTATAAGTTTATTAGGTTAACCTGAACCAATATAATATGTTATTATTTTTTTTAAATTGTTATCTAGATCCACATGTTTATATGATTTTTTTTATAAATTTTTTATATTAAATTATTTTTAGCCCAACCCATCCTATTGTATCGGAAGAAACCTAATCAACATCTATTCAATTTCAGCTATGCAAACATGATAAATAATAAATAAACAATAATAAAATCTTTAAGAGGATTGTGCGCTGATGATAAAATTTAATAATCTAATAAGTTATGTTGTGCTCAATCAATTTTTTTTAATTTAAGATTATTATGAAGACATTATTTAATTATTGAAAGTTGTATTTCTCTCAATAAGACATATCAATAATTTTCTCGATAGATTCTATATTAATATAAAAGAGGAGTCATGGTATTTGATTTTTTTCTTTTATGCAATGAATGTTTTTTAGGTTTTATTTTTTTTAAGATTTTTATTTTTTTATTATTTTATGGCTGAGTTTTTCTTAAAAATTAATTTCTTTTTATGAGTTGAGGGACATTTTTAAATAAAACATGATATATAAAAGAAAATAAAAATATTTAAGGATGAAGAAGTTTAAAAGAATTTTTAGTTTAATTTAATTTTATTAGATATTTGAATTATTAATTAGGAATTTCTTTTTGTTTTCTTAAAAGAAAGTTATTTTTTTTTAAAAAAATATTATTTCTCAACGTTGAATTTTCTGAATTTCTTTTATGAATTTCATCTTTTATTTTAAATTAATAATTATATTTTCTTTACTATATAATTAAATAAAAAAAAAGTCATTGAGTCACAAGTTTACGCAGAAATCCTGAAAAAATTCTTATAGTGGAAGGAATATATTTTTTTATATATATTTTAAAAAAAAATGATTCAATGTCGCGCTGAAAGCAACCTTTTACAACTCCTATAAATAAAAAACTAGAAAAACCATCGGAATGGTAGAAGTGAGTTAGGGTTTTATCTGCCTTCTTGCCAAGTCTTCGTTAAACTCGATTGTCTAAAAACAAGAACGAAAATAAAAGAATGGAAAACAAAATGGAGTCAAAGGGAGGTGAAGCTGCTAGAATCCTCAGCGAAATTGAAACATTAAAGGCTACGAGGAGCGACTTAGACAATCGAATTTCTGCTCTCGAAGCTCAGCTCCGTCACTTGAATTTTGAGAAAAACAACGTTTCCTGTCCTTCAATATCCACCGGCTTCGTTCACGGATTATCACCTGATATGATATACCGTTACAGTCGCCAGCTGCTGCTCCCCTCTTTCGGAGTTCAAGGTTCTCTTTATGTATAATATGTTGTTGGTTTTTTTTTTTTCCTTGAAAAAAACCTTCAGTTCAAACTACATTCCTTGTCAGAATTAATGTTTTTTTCTCTCCTGAGATTCAGGTCAGTCAAATCTGTTGAAGTCTTCGATTTTAGTAGTTGGAGCCGGAGGGTTGGGTTCGCCTGCGCTGTTATATCTTGCAGCTTGTGGTGTTGGTATTGAGTCAGTCTTTCTCTTCTTTGAATTAAATTTTCATTTATCACCAGCAGTGACTAGTTGCAAAATACTTATGCTTGATTTACGCTTTCGCTGATGTAACATTATACTTTAGTAGTTTAAAAAAAACTAGCCAAAAAGTGGTATGGTAGGAGGTTGGGAGCATGCGGGAGGGAAAGGGGTTGTTACTCATTCATGGAGATGAATATGGTAAATTTTGCTTTTTGTGTCTAATGATTTTCTTGCCCAAATTATTGAAGTTGGTTTCTCAATTTGTAGCATCTTCTATGGGAAGTCATGAAGATGGTTAAAAATTCCTCTTTTATCATCTGGGGTGGGCATCAAATGGGTCTTTTAGCAGATTGATATATATGTCTGTGTGTTTATATCATGATTTCAATACATATTTCTTAAGTAGTTGATTGGCCCAAGTTAAGTCCTAACACATTTTGGTCCTGTTTGGCATTGCATTCCAATGCGCTTTTGAATTTTTTTGGATAGTTTTGATATGCCAATATCAAAAATGGATTTAAAATAAAAATAAAAATAAAGATTATTTTAATGCTTTTCTAAGTGAAAAACACTTTGAAAAGCAACCTCTACCACATTTTCAAACAGGCCCAAATATGCTATTGCAGTGCTTCTTATTTCCTTTTGCTTCCTATTTGTTAATGCTCTGTGTTTTTCTTTGTAGGTCAATTAGGTGTTGTTGACCATGATGTTGTTGAGCTGAATAATATGCACAGGCAGGTACAAAGCTGGAAATGTTTGCATTGAAAATCATTTTATTGTTTCATAAGTAGTTACGAGAAAAATCTAAGCTGTGTTATTTTTCAGATGAGGGGAGGGTGTTTGCAGGTGCTAAAGTGCCAATGTATATGACTCCATTCTTATATGATCAGTATTATTTCGGTTTATAAATGTTATTTTGCAAAGACAACATAAAGACTTTGTAGTTAGGATAGTAAAGGAATGAAAATAGAGTTCTCTGCATTTTCTTATGCAGTTATTGTGCATGGGTGTCAAACAAAGTCGCCATCTTGGAGCTCTAATCATTCCATCATTCCATAAGTCATCGAATATATTTTCCTCATATTCGTGTTTTCATTGGTTATTTTTCCAGAAATTTTATTCAACTTACTTCTATAGTTATTTGTTGTGCTTAGGTTATACACACAGAAGCGTATATTGGTCAGCCAAAAGTGAAATCTGCTGCTGCTGCCTGTCGCTCGTATGTGTGCATTTTGGATTATCTGTCTGCTTCTATTAATTGATCTCAAGTTCCATAGCTAATATTTGATCTCAAGCTGCAAGTCTAGTAAAAAAAATTAATAAAACAACTTTGTACTTGTATTGCGAGTGATGAATTCATTCTCATCAAACGAGCCTTAGAAGTTCCAGTTCCTATTTTTAATGCAATTATTTTACATCTGTTCAATATTTGTCTTTTTGAAGGATCAATTCTACAATTCAAATTGTGGAACACCAAGAAGCTTTACGCACATCCAATGCTTTGGAAATTCTGAGCCAGTATCCTTGAAATGATAAATCCAAATTACAGCTTCTCTCCATAATTAACATTTTAAAAAAAAAACCCAGCCAGAATTGTAGTTTCCATAACTGCCGACTTTGTTAGATATGACATAATAGTAGATGCAACAGACAATGCTCCAAGTCGATACATGATCAGTGATTGTTGTGTGGTTTTGGGGAAGGTAAATTCTAAATTGGTATCTTGAAGTGTTTTTCATTTCTTTTCTTTTTTCTATTTAATTCCTCGAAGCGTGTGCTTGTTGAAATCACTGCACAAAAGACTATATTCTGAATTTAAAACATTGAGTACTAAAATATTTTCTATTGTGGAATAATTTGGACTTGATTCAAGTGATATGTAGGTTATTTTGTTACACGAAACACTATAACTTTGTAATAACAATAAAACATTGATGTAATTAAATATTACTTCCTAGAGGCAGGGTTGTTCTGGTTTATGCTAACAATGAGTTGTGACGGTGCGTATTCCACTGAAACATATGTTGTCAGATTTTCTGCATATAGATATGCTCTGGTGTGTATGTGTGCATTACAGATTGAAACATTGATCTATTGTCATCTAATTTTTCATTTTGAGCGCTAATCACGTTCCATTTATCTACATGCAGCCACTTGTTTCAGGCGCTGCATTGGGATTGGAAGGGCAGGTATATTATGCTGCTGTCATATTCTTTCTAAAGCATACAAGAAAACCTATAATGGTCCACTTACAATTGTAATGTACAGTGTTATAAATATTCTGTGAAGACTTCAATTATAATTCTGTGTAAATTTGTTGTTTAGCTCACAGTCTATAATCACAACAGAGGTCCATGCTATAGATGCCTTTTTCCTACTCCTCCACCTACAACTGCATGTCAAAGATGTGCTGATAGTGGAGTTCTTGGAGTGGGTATGTCAATAAGTCCTTATTACTAAGGTTGAGCTAGTTTTAAATTCTTGTCTAATGCCATATGTATATATGTCATCACTAGCTTAGTTCACTAGGGAATTTTAGGTTGATGCGTTATGTGTTGGAGTATGATAAGAGCCATTGCCAGTCTGGAAGATTTTTTTCTTGATCCTATAGAAATTCATTTTCATTCCAATATGCCTATTATTATGATAGAATTTTGTGCATATTAGAAAACCTCTGCTCTTGTTTAGTTGTCATTCAGCTAAAGAGAGCATAGATGCATTTGTTTGATGTTTATATTATTCTGCTCATTCTGCTGCTATACTTGTACACTTTGATAATAGATGAGTGTGCATGTGACTCCTGGTGATTTGTTCATATTGCAGTGCCTGGCATCATAGGCTGTCTCCAAGCATTAGAGGCCATTAAAATTGCAAGTGCTGTTGGTGAACCACTATCAGAACGGATGCTTCTTTTTGATGCATTGTCAGCTCGAATTCGTATTGTATAATCCATCCTTCTTATCTTTAAAAGCCATTTTAAGTGGTTTGTTCTAATGATGTTCTATTGAAGTAATTAATTTACTCTATTGTTGACTGTTACTTAGGTCAAGATCAGAGGTAGATCATTACAATGTGAAGTATGTGGAGAAAATTCAGCTTTCACCCAGCAACAATTTAAAGATTTTGATTATGAGAAGTTCACTCAGTCTCCATTGTCGGTGGTATTATTGCTTTTCCTTGCTTTTATTTATTTATTTTTGTTTCCAACTTTAAATTGTTTAGATGCAATAACTTCCTCACTTATTTCCTATTTCCAACCTTTAATGTTCATTTAGAGGTCTTGTAACCCAAAAGAGAAACAAACTAGGGTTGTCTGGTATGATTTTTTGTTCTCAGATGTTTCTTGTTTATAGTTTGTGGCAATTATTTATTTTTCTAACAAAGATAAATGAAGGAAAAGTTATTAGACAGAAAAAATTTAATTTAATTTAAGAAATATAAATATACATTATTAGTTAGAATATAAAAATTAATAATATTGCATATTTAATTATAGTAATGAAATGGTGGCATGGCGGTTCTGGTAATGACATGGTAATGATTGATGTAATGCTAATAATAGTCATACCAAATTAATGGTAATTATTATATTTTTTGTAGATAATGTTAATTGTAATGGCTGATAATGATATGATAGAAGTGACCATAATAAAATGACAATAACAGATTTTCATTATATGTTTGTGAAGGTTATAGAGGTAATGATTATGGTGGTTGGGCTGGAATAATGTTGGTTGGTAATATTAAAGGAGGTGGTAAAGTGACAGTGAAAGTGATGGTTGTGGTGGCTATAGTAGTGATAGTGATGTATTGGTGGTGGTGTTGGTGGTGATGTGGTAGTATGGTGGTGGTCATGTTGTTTTTAAACCAAAATAGATAACACTATCACTTTTTGTTGTTTTTAAACCCTGCTTTAATTTTTAAAATTGTTCACAAGAATAAAAAGAAAGAGGAAAAGGAAACTACAGGTATACCAAACAGCACCCAAGAATTGTTTTTATTTTTATTTTCTTGCTTACCTTTTGTTTTGTTCTTATCTCAGTAAATCAAGTCATCTAATTGTAACAGATCTGTTCTAATGGGTCTTTATCTACATGGCTAAAACATGAAGTTACCCCATTGGAAATTGGCCTCCTAAACTGAAAATTCTCATAGTTTGCCCCCCTCAACTAATCAGGTTTCTATTGATTACCCTCCCTTAAACTAATTGCAAAAGCTGAAGGCTGATTTGCTGACATGTAGCCACATCAGCCAAAGCTTGCTGGTAGTTGTTCATGGACGCCAAATTCTCAGGTCTTGATTCTAATAAAATATCAGTTGAGGAGCAAAAGAAAGACCTTTTTGTAGTGGGATCATTTTCAAAAATTAAAGGGATGCTGATTTTAGTTATTTAATATCGGTGATTTCTTAAGAAGCAGAGTATTAAGTGGCAGCATGTTCTAATGGATTCGATTGCATAGTGGTTTGGTTTGCGTCCCACTTTTTTTTTTTTTTTCTCTTTCCTGGAAATTATTGTTCTCTAGATGTAACACGTCTTCCTAACTGAATGCAGGCTCCCTTGATGCTGAACCTGCTTCCAGAAGATCACAGGATACACAGCAGAGAGTTGAAAGAGAGAATTGTTAAAGGGGAGGCTCATGTGCTGGTAGACGTACGGCCTGCACACCAATTCAAGATTGTTTCTCTTCCCAATGCCATGAATATCCCACTATCAAGTCTAGAGTCTAGGTTAGCTGAGATCTCATCAGCTTTAAAGGAAGAAGAAAAGCGGAAGCATAGTGGCTTTGAATCTAGTGCAAGTCTGTATGTGATATGCAGACGAGGTAATGATTCACAGATGGCTGTTCAATTGTTGCACAAAGTGGGCTTCACTTCAGCCAGAGATATAATTGGAGGGTTGGAGGCCTGGGCACGTGATGTCGATCCGAATATCCCTACCTATTAGAAAACATTTTATTTTTTTGCCATTATTTTTGTATGATGATCATATTTTTACATAAATGGTTTGCCAAGAGAAGTTCTATCTAGCTATCAACTTCTCCCCTGCTGTTCGAATTAAAATAAGCAGGGAACTGTCATTACAAGCAGTGAACTTTAGTGAAAGATAACTTCTTGGCAAATTCCACAAAATGTATTTGCACTCGAGTTTCTTATAATCTTTAAGTTTGAACTTTGTTCCAGCACCTTCATCATCATTCTCTCCATGCCATGTCAAGTTTTGGTAACAGAGTAAATGCGGTCCTAGAATTCACTTCTGGTGTTGATTATAAGCTATGATTGGATGCTGTAGGGGACGTGGAAGAGGCAGTCTTGGTCCTCAAGAAGAGTTGCTTGATGAGGATTTGTCGCAAGTTGTTAACATGCTCGAAGGCGGTCTTGACGATGAACCTAATTATGAAGAAACCCTTCTCAAGAAGCTGGTCCCGTGCATGAGGTGGATTGGAGGAGCGATTAGTATAATGCCCTGAATCTAAATGGGGTTGGAAGTAGACTCGAGGGTACTGATTTTCATGAAAAGATGCATGAGGAAGATTATTTGGATTGGGAAATTAGCTTGGAGAATTATTGTGTGGAAACCAATGGCTCAAAATAAGGTGACGTTTGTGAGGCTAAAATTGAAAGGCAATGTAGTTTAACGGTGGAAGGGACATGAAAAGCAATGCCTACCAAATAAAATTAAATAAAAAAACAAAAATTAAAAAAATCCCTATTAAAAAAACAAAAAAATATTCGGTTTGATTTGAGTTTTATTTAAAACCTCTAAAACCATTCAAATTAAACAGAGAACTAGTTTGAACACTAAATTTCTAAACTACATTAGCAAACTAGGTATAATTTTTTTTTTCAAACCCTAATCCCTTCTCACCTATCAGAGCTTGTATTCGACATGTTTGTATTTAAGAGATAGTTAATCTAAAATTGTGATTTGATAGAATTTCTTATCATTCATTTGGTGTAGGAATATATAACCTTTTTTTTAATTCAATTTAATCGTATATTTAAAAACCTATGCCCTTTAATTTCAGGATATATAATAATTAATATCCTAAAGTATAAGCATATAAGGCATCCTATATAAATATATACAATAATATAGTTAAAATCCTTTTCATATGCTAATCAATCAAGCAATTCAAGCTCTCATAATTATTTGAATCAGAGAAACTCGCAAGCACGATTTGCTGAAGTTGTCTTGGAGAAAGGATGGCAAGTAGCTAATAGTTTAAGCAAATCCACCTCATGGAGATGTGGCAGTGGGCAAGAATGAATGAGATTTTGGGTGTTATGGGCCAATTACAAATTCTCGCAGCTGAAAATAACTAGATTTTGGCAAGTAGCTATTTATTTGTTTGTATTGGATTTTGTTGCCTGTGTATGGTAGTGTGAAGGGATAAAATCATCTATTGCGTCCCCTTTTTTAATTCTTGGGTTAATTCTTTCTGTTTTTCTTCATAGTTATTGGCTCATCTTCTTTTTAATTTAACATCCAGCCTTGGTAGTTTCTTGATGTTTTCACCTATTTTGATTTAAATAGTATTTACAACCTATTTGTTTTTGCGAATAAAATTATATTTCATGATTTTTTTAAATTTTTTATTTGAATTATTTTTATATTTTTGGATTATTTTGATGTTTGATATCAAAAATAATTTTTTAAATAAAAATTATTATTTTCATATATTAAAAAAAAATAATTTGAAAAATAATTATTAACTATATTTTCAAACAATATCTTAACAAAGAAATGACTTGTTTCTTAAATTGTAATCCGTGATCTTTTAAATTTTTTTATTTGAATTATTTTTATATTTTTTGATTATTTTGAATTTGAAAAGTAATTATTAACTATATTTTCAAACACTATTTTAACAAAGAAATGATAAAATTGTGTTTCATAATTTTTAAAATTTTTTTATTTGAATTATTTCTATATTTTTTGATCATTTTGATGTTTAAAAGAAAAAACAATTTAAAAAACAATTATTAACTATACTTTCAAACACTATCTTAACAAAGAAATAACCTGTTTGTTTTTACGGATAAAATTGTGTTTCGTGATTTTTTTAAACTTTTAAAATTTTTTATTTGAATAACTTTTATATTTTTTGATCATTTTGATGTTTGATATCAAAAATAATTTTTTTAAAAAATAAAAAATTTTATTTTCATATATTTAAGAAAAAAATAATTTGAAAAGTAATTATTAACTATATTTTCAAACACTATTTTAACAAAGAAATGACCTGTTTGTTTTTGCGGATAAAATTGTGTTTCATAATTTCTTTTTATTTTTTTTATTTTTTTATTTTTTGATCATTTTGATGTTTGATATCAAAAATAATTTTTTTAAAATAAAAATTATTATTTTTATATATTATAAAAACAATTTGAAAAATAATTATTAACTATATTTTCAAACACTACTCTAACAAAGTACTTTGACGGATGTTTGGCTTGTTGATATTGAATTTTAGCAGTTTATTGATATTGTATTCTTATTAGAATATTGAAACGGATTATTTTAAAGCATGCATAATTAATTTTTTTTTAGTTTAAACAATAATATTTGTCCTAATTAATGGCTTTTAGCTAGGAGCTGACTCCTAAGTCAATTATTTTTCCTTGTAATGAAATAAGCCTTAGGTATTAGAATAGTATAAATAAAGCAACATCGTAATTGTATTTTTTTGGCCTGCTGGATACAATAGTTTTAATACAAACTTTCTTTAGCCTTTTGCAATTGTTTTAAACTCTATGCTTATGTTTTCGTATCGCGTAATTTACTAGTTTTTTACAGCTTTATTTTTTTATAGCTTTTGATTTATTTTATTAATTTCTTTCTTATACAATTTAACATTTTCTTTTAGTTCTACAAGTAATTCACTCGATGCAAACTCCATAATTTAGCTACAAATCTTGCTCAATCTAGATTTTAAACAACACCCTAAAAAACTTAACAAAAATGGTTCAATGTCCTTTTAAAAAAAAATAAAATTTTATGTTCGAGTTTTATGCATAAAACATGTCATCACTGAATTTTTTTTATCTTTTAATCGATTAATCTAACTGAATCAAATTAGTTCAAGTGTAATAAATTTTTAAATACTAAATTAAAAAAAAACACAAACTAAATAATAATGTCAAAGTTTACCACACTTGTCTTAAATACACTTTATAGCACTGTAGGAAGACCATTCTTTCTTGTGGTTCCACCATTCCTCTTTCATCTGGCCCTTCCATTTTAGGTGGAGTCTTGACTTCATCTCTTTCCTATCAAGCTTACTCCACCCATCAAGCATGACACATCTGTTAGCACTGCTTTGCCTCATGCGCCTATACTCATTTTCCCATTGCCAATGCTTGCTCTGGTCCTCTTGTGAGAAACAACCTTTCATTGGTGTATTTTCCTACAACAACATTTCATGCAGTCTTAGCCCGAGATGGAGCAGGAATCTCACGAACAATTTAATCAGTAAATTAAATTTTTTTTATTTGTCATTTTTCTTCATTTTAGCCTTAAGGTTACAGTTTTTAAAGATTCAAGTGAAAACTAGGGTATCTGAATAAATCCCAACTCCTCTTAAACCAGTAATATACAAGCAATGTCCTGCATATGAAATAACATTTAAGGTAGCAACTTTATTACATGTCATTTTTTTAAGTCATAATGCAGGCCTATAATATTGGATTTCAAAATCAAACTTGAACTAGTGCAAGTGATCGAAGAGGACAGGATATATCAGGGCCAAGAGAGTGAGAGACAAAGGTCCTGAAATCTTATTGCTTCATGAACCACAAGTAAAAGAACACAGATTCCCAAGCAAGATGGCCTGTCTATGAGGGCACACCTACCAACAGAACACATTCACATTATCAATAGAATCAGTTTGAAAATACTAGATTCTATTATTTGTCATTTTTCTTCATTTTAGCCTGAAGGTTACATTTTTTGAAGTGTCAAGTGAAAACTAGGGTAGCTGACTATCTGAATACATCCCAACTCCTCTTGTCCTACATATGAAAGAACATTAAGGTAGCAACTTTATTACATGTCATTTTGTAAGTCACAATGCAGCCCTATAATATTTGATTTCAAAATCAAATTTGAACTTGTGCAAGTGAAAGAAGGAAGAGGACAGGACATATCAGGGCGGGCACAAGAGAGTGAGAGACAACTCATTAATTTTTTGGTGCCTCATTTGTGGTCACAAGCCCCCAGCGAAGTGCTCTGTGAATGAGTGGTAGCATGTGGCTCCATGTGCTCTCTTTATCCTGTTTGTCGCACACTTAAATTTTCTTGTACTAGTACCATTAGTAGATTTAAATGGATGTAAATCTTCTACTCATATACAAAGAGAAAGTATAGGATCTTATCTACTATATCATATTAGACATATCCAAAAGAGATATTTTAAGAATTGAGTGAATATCTTATCATTTATGTATCCTAAAATATAACGATTTGAATCAAGGGATTCTGTACACACTACAATCCCTTGATTCAAATCACTTTATATGATGTAACAGTGAAATGTATCTTCTAAAAAAATACATAAAAAAACTCTTTCTATATATTTCTTCTCCTTGTTCTTACTCTGTTACAGGATTAACCTCAAAGTTGCCCCCAGATAAAAAAAAAAAAAATCCCATTTCAGTGGAGTATCTAAAAGAATTTTGTTTCAGTCGAGTCTTTTAAGCACTCTGTATTTCTCGATTGATTTTTCGGTCTAGACTCTTCACAAATTTTTAATGAAATATATCCAACTTCAAAAAAGAAGAAAAAAAGGCTTCATCTTATGGGACAAAAGGGGTAGAATTCGATAGAACTCATTATCTACTTGAGAGTCTTGAATTGAAATCTAATTTTAGAAATAGTCTACCAATAAGTGTCATTTTCAGAAACCATATCCAAACGGTGTTTAAGTTTGGTCGAGCTTACGAAGAGGATCCATAACAATAAAGATGAAAAACTAAGCTGAAAATGATGAAATTACATCCATAACATTTAGGGATCAAGCTAGTGATAGTAGTTCAACGAGTGTCCTTGTGGTTTCTAAAAAAAAAACAAGAGCAACATTGTGTTCATGAGGTTGAGCCTAGCCATAAGCCAATAAATTAAGCCAGTTACAATGATTTATTTGGTTGAGACTGGATCCATGTTAATATATGTGTTTTTTTGGGATTATCT